TGGGGGAGAGGGGAGGGGGGGGGGCGGGAAGGAAAAGACGGAAAGAGGCCGGAGGTCTAACTCCTCGTATCCATTTACAAGTTTTAAATCGTTCCACCGGCGTGCCTTTTGAAAGAAACCTTTTACCTTTATTCTCAATGCACGATAAAATTCTGAAATGCGCGTTCGCCGGCCGCGCGGCTTTTAAACGTTAACACGCGCTTGCTCGGTACAATGGCGGCGGGGTCGCATTATACTCGAGAATCGGAGGGAGAACAAGTGATATAGGAAGAAACAAGGGGTCGACGAGTGGGTGACGAAGGGGTGAAGAAGAGTGCCGTGCTACTAAGTGGAAAGAAGACGGCGGTGAGAGAACGAAGAACTGTTCCTTTCGTCGTCGTCGTCGTTTGCTACTTTGATTTCTTTGCACAAAACGAAATAGAGCTGCACCAACAGGGATAAAAATCTTATTTCGCGTAATTCACATTTATTTGTATATTAGCGCAATTTTTATCCCATTTGATTATATTGTATATATTGATCTATCGTGTAATATGTTACGTAAATAAATGTCTTAATGGATATCTTTATATAATACGGAGAGTAAATACTTTTTTTTTTTTTTTACACAAAACTTCTATACAAGTGGAATATATATTTCGTCAAAATCAATTATAAATAAATGCCGTGAGCATTATTAATTAGCGCCAGCTTAAGTCTGATGACTTAATTCGATATAGTAATGACAGCAATCCCTAATAATGAAAGATGCGCGCTCAGCTTTCGCCTCATCGATCCGGTATAATGTATTTAAGTGAGTGTTCCCGAGATCGTAAATAATCGTTTTTGTCACAACCGCTCCATTCGCCCATTCGCGCGGCTTTTACGAAACCGTAAGATATCCCCGTTCGATTTGCATCCTCGTTGAACGAGGGAAGGATACTCTGTAATCGCTCGACCTGGGAGACCGCGACGGTAATTCCATGCCATTGGAACAGCTTATGGATCATTTAAGGAGCTCTCGAGGGCCGAGAGGATGGTCCACGGGAAAGGGCGAGGGATATCTCAAGTTTTTTTTTTTTATTAAAATGAGCGCATTTGCGGCGACCAGCGATTGCTCGGCCAGCTGAGCACGCATTTTTTTCCTCGCCTCGTTCAACTCCACGGCGGTTGGTCGGTCGTTGAGAGCGGTTACATCCCTCTGTATGTCGACCACGGCGCGAAAATGGAGCTTTGCGGGAAGGCTACGGAGGTCCGGTTACGGAGATAAATTTCCTTATAAAAATTCGAATTCCATCGGGGAAGAGATGCCCCGCTATTCGCAATTTATTGGGGCTTTTGTGAATCGCTGACCGTGCTCTTACATGTCTCTCGGTCATTCTTTGTCGTTTTTAACGACGTAAAAGAAGCGCGCCTTCAAGATGACAAGCATTTTATCCTCGGAACGATTAAAGACTTCATTTTATATTAGAAATATTTTAAAATATTATTCATTAAAATATATCTCAAAAAATAAGTTCATTCTCTCACGGAATAAATCATGATACTCGACTTCTAAAGGGAAGCAACTTCTTGATACCTTGTTTCATACCGCTTGAAAAGACAAACGCTATTAAGGAATGTCAATGGTGGTCCACGATGCCACATTACGCTCTTAAGGGAGAGAACAGTCAAAGTGATGGGAGCAGGGGGCCGCGAAGCAGGGTAGTTAAATGTTACCAGTGTCAGGACATGGCCTTTGTGTTAGGGGAGTGCTTGGGCTCCATGGAGTTAGCTAGAGAGACTGGCAGAGTACTATAAATTACATAAATGAAGTAAGCCCCTTCCGCGCTCAAACGGACGTCTTGCCAAGTTTATAACTTAATCACTCGTGCTACCTCGTAGTAAGAGGAGAAGCTTAGGCGGATGAGAGAATGCGAGAGACGCAACGGAACGTTCGAGATGGGAGCTGGTATATCGGAGACAGATAGCGAGGAGGATGTAAGAGAGAAAGAATCCGGCGGAGAACGAGCCGAACGATTAATGGTGTCAGCGTTGAATAATTGAATGTGTCGCGCACATATTGCTTCAACACTGCCAAGTTTCTTTTTCTCCGCGACCTGCTTGTTTTAAAGCAGGATATATAAATAAAGATATATCTTAAACTACTAATTATTTTCTCGATCATTTATTTATCTTTTGATCGATTACACATCCTAATTAAATTCCTAATTTAAATAAATGTGAACGCGCTTTGAAGTATTTGCTTGAAAAGACCGTATGTAATGTATAGAATTTTTTTTCTTTTTTTCCTAATCTCATTATTTCCTATATATACACATTTGAAAGTTTCATTAAGCGCTAAAATTCTTTCTCTCTAAACTCACAGCAGGAGATAAAACTTTTGAAAATTTTATTGGGAAAAATATTAGTTCTATGGAAATTAATTATAGTAGTCTGGTAGTCTTTGACATAACTTCATGAAAATGAAGTAAAATCCTGCATTGTCGGTTTATATTTGTCGGGAATGATTATCGGGTGCTTTTTAATTACGGGACACCTAGCGTAGCTTCAGCAACTGTTTCAGTACGGAAACTCAAGTTTTTTTTTTTTATTAAAATGAGCGCATTTGCGGCGACCAGCGATTGCTCGGCCAGCTGAGCACGCATTTTTTTCCTCGCCTCGTTCAACTCCACGGCGGTTGGTCGGTCGTTGAGAGCGGTTACATCCCTCTGTATGTCGACCACGGCGCGAAAATGGAGCTTTGCGGGAAGGCTACGGAGGTCCGGTTACGGAGATAAATTTCCTTATAAAAATTCGAATTCCATCGGGGAAGAGATGCCCCGCTATTCGCAATTTATTGGGGCTTTTGTGAATCGCTGACCGTGCTCTTACATGTCTCTCGGTCATTCTTTGTCGTTTTTAACGACGTAAAAGAAGCGCGCCTTCAAGATGACAAGCATTTTATCCTCGGAACGATTAAAGACTTCATTTTATATTAGAAATATTTTAAAATATTATTCATTAAAATATATCTCAAAAAATAAGTTCATTCTCTCACGGAATAAATCATGATACTCGACTTCTAAAGGGAAGCAACTTCTTGATACCTTGTTTCATACCGCTTGAAAAGACAAACGCTATTAAGGAATGTCAATGGTGGTCCACGATGCCACATTACGCTCTTAAGGGAGAGAACAGTCAAAGTGATGGGAGCAGGGGGCCGCGAAGCAGGGTAGTTAAATGTTACCAGTGTCAGGACATGGCCTTTGTGTTAGGGGAGTGCTTGGGCTCCATGGAGTTAGCTAGAGAGACTGGCAGAGTACTATAAATTACATAAATGAAGTAAGCCCCTTCCGCGCTCAAACGGACGTCTTGCCAAGTTTATAACTTAATCACTCGTGCTACCTCGTAGTAAGAGGAGAAGCTTAGGCGGATGAGAGAATGCGAGAGACGCAACGGAACGTTCGAGATGGGAGCTGGTATATCGGAGACAGATAGCGAGGAGGATGTAAGAGAGAAAGAATCCGGCGGAGAACGAGCCGAACGATTAATGGTGTCAGCGTTGAATAATTGAATGTGTCGCGCACATATTGCTTCAACACTGCCAAGTTTCTTTTTCTCCGCGACCTGCTTGTTTTAAAGCAGGATATATAAATAAAGATATATCTTAAACTACTAATTATTTTCTCGATCATTTATTTATCTTTTGATCGATTACACATCCTAATTAAATTCCTAATTTAAATAAATGTGAACGCGCTTTGAAGTATTTGCTTGAAAAGACCGTATGTAATGTATAGAATTTTTTTTAGCATCGAGCAGAATTAATTTTCCATATAACCGAGAATCGTCTTCCCGTTATATGCATTTGATACGCATGTGGAATATACATGCAAAAGTAGTTATGTACGTATAAAAGATGTGAAAGAGCTGGCTATGGTTTCTCTAGTGAGAGAAATCTCTGTTTACCTTCTATTACAACGAAAAGCTCTTTCACGCGTCGGTTAAGTATTTTCTTGATGCCACTTTGTAATAATTCCAAAGTAAACTCGCGTGATCTGATCCAGTTCAAAGCCTCTTCAAATCTCATCCTCAGCAGTTATTTCTTTATGAAATTTTTAGCAAAAGTACATTTAGTATTTAGCAAAAGGCAACAATTATTCGATAAATTAATGGAGAAGAAGTCTTTCCGAATACAAACAAAATTTCTGTTATAATTTCAACTTATTGCCAAGGATGGATGTACCACAATGAGCGACATACACGAACCATTTTAGAACTCTAATAATCCCAATAAACCGTAACGAAATACCTCCCGAGATCTATCTCAATCATCAGCCTCCTGTCAAATCTCGTTCGAAGCCCATCGGACGCTTCACCCGTCTCTCCGTCTCTCCTCACCTGTCTCTATCTGACATTTCAAGGTCGAGTGCAAGAAGGCACAGCCGAAGGAAGTGATGCTCCCAGCGAATCTGGCCAAGACGCGAGCGGCCAGCAGAGGCGCATACGGTGAGTTGGTGATGGTCGCGACACCCACCCCCGCCACCTATCGCTACGCGCCGTACCCCCTGCCGACGGCGGCCGCCGCCGCTGCACATGCGGCCGCGGCGGCCACCGCTGGTCCCCCTCACCACCACTTGCTGGCTCCGTTAGTCGCTA